CCTCAAATATTACATGTCACCTAAACTTAATTCTGCCACCTAGTGGGATGTTATTGGGGAGAAAAAAACTGGAGAAATTCTGAGGAATTTGCAAACACGGTGTGGAAAATTCCTGCAAGAACAAGGTGACCTGTCAGGTTTTCAAAACAGAGTGAGTGGCCAGTAAACTATGTGCCCGCAGACTTCCCTTTATCCGGGTGCCTCAGGAGCCAGGAGCTCTGACTCTACGCCCCCAGAGCTGGCTCATACCAACAGGTAGCTTGAGACCATGGACCCAAGGTTTTCCTTTGCAAAGCGGGAAACCTGAATAATATTTTATAGACGATGTGTCAGGTGCCTTCTTGAGAATTACCGTGTGCTTCAGGAAGACTTCCTAAGGCCTCTTTTTGGGGAATTTAAAATAATTTAAAAAAATAAATTTTAAAATTTAGGATGACGTGATCTGTGGATTTAAAGCAACAGTCAGGTGTTGGCCCTAAGGCAGCCCGAGGCTTTTCTTGAGTCACCAGAAACGTGGCCCCGTCGTGAACCTCTGTCTCTGCCAGACTCCATGTAGGAAGTGCCCTGGAGCTGGGGAGCTTCCCACCTGCACCTGGCATTTCTCTTCAGACCAAGTGTGTCTTGTGTCAGCGTGTAGTTCTAACACACTGACTGGCTGCTTTAAACTGGGGCGAGCACTGCCAACCTAGTACTAGCTGTTCCAGGGTGATGCGCGATTCCTCAGTAACCCGAAAGGTGGCTGTTGATTCTCCCTAGTTGGCACACATCCCCGCAGTGTCTGTCAGCCAGCGTCCCCGCTCTGCAGTTTCTGTGGGGACTGTGGATATTTTCTGAGACACAGCAGCTCAAGGCTAAGCGATGTTCCAGATTACCCGAGGAATAGCCTGCAGTAGGGTGTGTGTGTGTGTGTGAGAGTGTGTGTAGTAACCCGAAAGGTGGCTGTTGATTCTCCCTAGTTGGCACACATCCCCGCAGTGTCTGTCAGCCAGCGTCCCCGCTCTGCAGTTTCTGTGGGGACTGTGGATATTTTCTGAGACACAGCAGCTCAAGGCTAAGCGATGTTCCAGATTACCCGAGGAATAGCCTGCAGCAGGGTGTGTGTGTGTGTGTGTGTGTGTGTGTGTGTGCGTGCGTGTGAGAGAGAGTGTGTGCGGTGTCCTGCTGCTGGCAAATGGTACACACACACGCAATTCTGGATTAGCGAGTTTGCATGCAGCCTGGAATTTGTATGACGGCCTCTAGTACTTTTTCTACTTTGGCATGGGGCTCATGTGTGCTGCCCTGACTCCTCCAAGGGACTGTGGAATTTTCCGGTTTCAGCGGAATGTCTGTGGTGTTTATTGAGAATGCAGTATGGAAAGGACCCTGACCTCAGCCTCAGCACCCTCTCCTCAGCCTCCTGTGTCCTGTGTATGTGCAGCAGCCTCTTTGTGCTATCCTTCCGGGAACTCTACCCTCCACTTCTCCTCCCAAGAGACACCCATGCTCAGGGACACCCATCTATAGGCTGGCCCAAGTGCCCCTGAGGGGCATGGGTCCCCTCCTTATCCCCTCACCACAAGTTAGCACATCTCATTTTAATTACCCGTCGGTTTGTCTGTCCAGGTTCCCTGCTCCCCTTCCCTGCCCCAACTGTGAGCTCTGTGAGGATGTTTCTTATTGTTGTCCCCGAGGCTGGGCACACGGCAAGTGGCCAGAGAGTGCTTTTGTTGGAGCGGCAAGTGAGGAGGGCGTGCGTGGTGCTTGGTAAGCCCACTTACTCACTAGGGCTCCACAGGCTCCCCTTGGCCAGAGCACTGCCGCCCCAGAGGCAGATGTGGGTTCCAGGCCCAGGACCCACCCCTC